TGGCAAGGCAGGAAACCCAGAGCTGTGAGGGTCCCCGACAGGCAGGGCCAACACGGGCCAGAGATGAATCCCAGGTGACACAGCCAGCGAGGGACAGGGCTGGGCTGAGGTCTCAGAATGTGCCTATGGGCCACTCTTCTACCTTTGCAAACAGTCTCATTCCCTTAAGTCCTCCCCTAACCATGCTCCAGAACCTCCCCAACAGCAGCTCGGGGTTCTCAGAACCCCACAGTCCATGAAGCAGCCCTCTCTACTGGATTCCTACGTGAGACTCCAGAATAGTGGGAATCGCAGTTACAAAAGGAATCCCGACAATAATGCAGACCCTCCATGAAGGACTGCTCTGAGCCAGGCACCACATGCCTGTTTATTCTTTACATCTTGTTTATTCTTTACTCCAACTCTGTATGAGGTAGCAATTGTTATTACCCCATTTTACAGATGAGGAAATTGAGCCTCAGATTAAGTCTCTTGCCCCAAATCATATACCATGGACTGATGTCCACAAAGAGCCCTAAAGCTAGCAGAGATGGAGTGGAGTCAGGTGGTCCACGATGCCCAAACCTCCCATGAGTGGCGAGCCCTCTCTTTCCTACTCTGGGACCACCCTCTGGCTCTCGCCCAGCAGGGCCAGCCTGGGTGGGTCCCGCCCACTCACCTGGAAGCGGCAGGCTCGGTGAACAGTGCCTGCGGGGTGTGTGGCGTGGAGCCGGGCACAAGGCAGACTGCCGGGTCCCGGGGGCCAGTCCTGCCCTTTGAGGTGGAAGAGGACTCGGGCGTGGGGTTCTGCTGGAGTCACACCCGCTTCCACTGACACAGCCCGCACATCCCAAGGGACCGGCCGCTGGTGGGGCTCAGTGACCCGAGGAGGGACAACCTGCAGGGAGAATGGGGTTGCTCAGAAAGCAGGGGGCTGTGGGAAGTGGGATGTGGGAAGATGGGATGCCAGGCTTCTAGCTCCAACCTGGCAGGAGAGAACCTTTATGGGCCTCAGCTTCCCTCTCTAGAAGACTTAGATAAGCACAGCTGGGGCTGGGGCGGGCCCCTGAGCCACACACAGCACACCTTGGCTCTGAGTCCTGTCAGCCCGGAGGGAACCCCAGGTGCCCCTCCTTACCTGCTGCGTGGCAAAAGGCGGGTAGGAGGCCCGGAGAAGTGGCTGGGCCCTGGGCCAGGGCTGCAGGAGCAGAAAGGTCTCAGATCGGGAGCCCAGAGAGGAGTTGGCAGGTGGGTAGCGGCCCACCTGCTGCACACGGAAGTGCTCAGGGGCATCCAGGAGCTCCAGGGCTGCCGGCAGGTAGACGGGGTCCAGGGGCTCCTGCTCACAGTCCACTGCAGAGGGGGAAGGGACAGAGATGGTGACAGCCCAGAGCAGGCAGGGGCGCAGTGGGGGTGAGCAGTGGAGGAAGAAAAGGGTTATAAACGTCCCACCCCTGGGATGTAGGGGGAATCTCACAGATGAGGAAACTGAGGCCCAAAGAGGGTCCCACAGGGAGCATGTGCCAGGGCTGGGATGTGACTCAGAGTCCAGGACTGGAGGCCAGTCCCGGGCCATTCCCTCCTCGACCTCCCTCCCTCCAGCAGAAGCTTCTCAATGCCGCCGCCTCCCCCATTCCCACCCCCTATCATTGCCTCTGACACCAAGGCATTTGTGGGGTACGGTTCTCTCCAGACGGAGCCTATGAGGTGAAAGACGGTGACTGGGTAAGCTTTGTAGAGGTACAGACCATTTCTCTGTCCTTAGGTCCTTGGCCAGACTTAGCTGGGTACCCACCCTCCCTCCTTCATCATCATCACGGCAACCGCACATCAGTTCCCCAAACTTGCTCCCTTCCTCCCTATCCCACTGGGTACCAGAGTGTAAGGGTGGGAGGAGGTGGTATGGGTGGGAACCATGAGCCTGGAAGGGCGTCTCATATTCAGTAACCAGGACAAAGGACCACTAGGACCACAGTTGGTTTGTACCCAGCTGACTAGTAGTTAGCCCCAATAACAGTAATTAACAATTTTAGAACACTAACTATGTGCAAGCTACCATTTAAAACATTTTACATAAATGTATTAACTCAGTTTTGGGTATAACTGTGAGAATTAGGTACTATGACTTAATCCCATTTTATGGATGCAGAAAATGAGGCTGAGAGGTTAAGGTCCTTGCCTGCGGCCCCACGGCCGGTGCATGAAGGAGCTGGGAGTCACAGGCCAGGCACTGACCACCAGACCACTCTGCCCCCACCCTCCACCTCCCTCTCCACCCTATGTTGCTTGCAACAGTGTTCGCTCCCCTAGACTATGGGTCTCTCCCTCCTCCTTCAGGGCCAAGAGTGAATGTTACCTCCTTAAGGAAGCCCTCCTCAACTGCTTGCCCTCTCACCCGTCCCCTCCATTAAATGCCCCTCTGGCTGCCTTCTCTGAACATTATCTTCCTGTCTATCAGCTGGGACCTCGTCTTCGTCCTGGATCACAAACTGGGCGGCTCTCCCCGGGAGACCTGCATCTGCATCCTAACTCCCTCAAGGCACATCTTGGAGCCTCCGTTTCCTCACCTGTAGAACCAGCACAGAGTGACACTGTGGACAGGAGAGGGCTTTCTAAACGGTGGAGTGTGGCATGGAGGAGGGATCGCTGCTGCCGCATAATGGATGTGACAAGGCTTTCCTCATCTGTCTGTGTGAGGGGTTATTAGGGCTCCCACGGGGTCCCCTGGGGAGGGGAGCAGGTGGCTGAAAGCAGCCCCAAGCCAGCTCCCTCTCAGCTCCATTGCTGGGCTGGGGGACGTGATGGTTTCAACGTCCTTCAAGACCCTCCCCATCAATGAGCAAGTGCCTGAGACACTCCCCCCAGCCCCCACAAAGTGTAACAGGTGAGTGACTATGGCTCCCGGGGGACAGCCACTGGCCTCCCTTACTGCTCCATTGCCTGGATAATTACAAGATGCTGGGAAGCCAGACTCCCACGGACTCCCGCCATCCAGACCTCAACTCTCTCCATGGGGGTGAGCGGTGTAGAGAACGTCTCCCTCTCCCCTACTCTTCCGTGGCACCATCCACCTCGCAGCCCCGGCCCCGGACAAGGGCAGTCCGCCCCAGAGAACAAGGGAGTCCCTGCCCCTTCCTCCAATGACGGGGATGCCCACGGGGCTCAGGAAGGCACGGATGGGGCGATCTCTTGGGACTCCAAGGTCAGACAACTCCTTGGGGCAGGAAGAAGGTGACTACATATCTTGCAGGTCCCAGGCAAAGAGGCTGCTTCCCGTTCGCGGGGGCGGGTTGGTGGTGGGGAGAGGAGGCTAGGAGCCACGGGGGTGCAGCTCTGTGGAGGGCGGATGAGGGAGCTGGTGCGCCCGGGTCAGGGGGCTGCTGGTTTGGATGCCCTGCCTGGAGCGGAGGCTCGTGGGAGGTCCGGGACCCGGCAGGGGTGCGGGGGTGGCGGGGAGAGCCAGGGACCCGGCTCTCCTGGGTCAGGAAGGAGTTGCGGGGCTGTGCAAGGTGAAGGAAGCAGCGGGGCAGGGTCCCGGGGTGGGATCGCGCCAGCCCTCGGGGCACGCTGCGGGCGAGCCCGCGGGGGGTTTAGTCGGAGCAGCCACAGGTTCTCGGCTCCGGTCTGTCCCTCCCGCTCGGCTTTGGCGGGGGCCCGGTCGCTTCTCGCCCGCCCTGCCCCACCCCTCCTGCTGACCTCTCCCGACGTCCAGGGCGAGGGCCACCAAGAGGCAGAGCCAGGGGCCGCCGGGCGCCCGGGGAACCGTGGCCGCGCGCCCCTCCATCCGGGCGCACATCCTTCCCACGGAAGGCGGGGACTAGGCGGGCGGCTCAGGTGGTCGCGGGCCGCCGGACATCTCCCGTGCCCGCTCGGTGCCGGCCCGATTCAGCCGGCTAGGTGCTGGCCGCCGCCGCCCGCCCGGCCGCACGCCCGCGGCTGCTGTTCCAGACAATGGAGCGGGAGCCCGAGCCTGAGCCGGAGGCGGGAGGGAGGGAGCGCACGCAGCGGAGGGGCTGTCCCTCCGGCCCGCCGGGTCCTAGTGCCCGACGGATCCCCCTACCCCCCCCCCCCCCCCCCCACCACCCCGGGTGCCCCCACGCTCCAAGTCGGCGAGAAGGCCACTTCCCTGGACACTGAAAAGCGGGGGACTGACCAAGAGGGATAGGACGCGTCCCGTTCGCTCCCTCTCAGAAGCTCCTAAGGAGGCAAAAGCCACTTGCCCTGCCTCTGCCCCACCCGACACGCAGCTCACCTGTAAAGGCATCTGACACCTGAATCAGAACCTGGATTCAAGGACAAGGGGGACTGTGCTACAGGGCTAGAGAAGGGGTGAAAGGGGGCCAATAGGGCCGGGTGACAAACATTTGGCCTGAGCAGGCAGAGGGCCTCTCCTGGGGAGGAAGAGAGCTCTGAGTGTGGGCAGCTAGAATTACATGCCCAGCCCATCCCGAGGGAGGCCTGTGACCCTAGGAAGTGTGAGAGCCTGTCTCTGCCTCCCAGGTCCTGACCTCCTGGGCCAGGCTTGCCAGCCAGCAAATGTCAGGGAGGTTCCAGAGCAGGGGGCACCTGGCTGAACATTAGCATCTCCAAGGCAGCTAAAAAATAAAAATAAACACACACACGCACAAACCAAAGAAAACATGTCCAGACCCCTCCACAACTGATTCAATCTATGGGCCGGGTTGAGAACCACAGTGCAGGAAACTCCGGTCTAGTGGGGGAAGGAGGGAGGGCAGGCGGGTCTCCTGGCTGCTGGCCAGGTGTTGACACTCCTGCACAAAGGGGTGGAGGTGCTGCCAGTTCCTGAAGGTTTTGTAATGGGGCATGCCTCCTCCATTCCTCCTGGTCCTGGAGGGAAAGGCACCTGGTAGGAGCCCTGCTTCCTGCCCCCACCCCTCCTTCCCTTCCTACCAGCTTGGCATTGCCCCCACCGAGAGAAGCTGAGAAAGCTGTGGGGCTCTGCAGAAATGGGTCTAGCTGTAGAGGGTGAAATTGAAGCAGTCCAGACTTTGAGTCATCCGTGTTATACAGAACAAGATAATAAAATGGCGAGCACTTTATTTAGAACCAACCAAGCACTGATAAAAATATATATCGCTGCAGCTGTGATTCCACGCTGGGCCTCAACAGTGAGAACTGGGCATTTATTCCCTCTTCCCGTCACGTGGGTCAGGTGCGCACCGCTGGGAGAGCCTCTAAGGACGTCGGAGAGCCCTGGTGGAGTGGAGTGGGGTCTGTGGGCTCCCCCTGCTCCCTGCAGAGCGTGAGGGGAAAGGGCTGTGGTGCCATTTCTGGTGTATCTGCTCCATGATTCTCCCAGGCCACTGGAGTGGGCCCTGGTCAGCGACTCCTTGGTGGCAGTGAGTGGAGACAGAGATGGAGACCCGCCTGGAGCTTTGCAGACAGAGGAGTCCTCCTTCCTCCTCAGGTCCCTGGAATTCCCACAGGGGATCTGACAGCCACCACACAGTCCTATGTGCAGGCACAGCCTACAAAGTAGTCACCTTTTGCTTTGGCTGCAGGGGGAATCAAGGTCCTGAGAGGAACCACTCTCTTCCTTGACTCGGAGTGACCACAGCATGCTTTCTTATATGCAGCGGGGCAGCAGGCAGGCGGAGGGCCCACCGGCTCGGATTAAGGCACTTGTAACAGACTCAATGTACATCTCACCCCCAGCCCCATGGGGGAACATCCCCATTTCTCTTCCCCTCAAGTCCCATATACCCTGCCTCTTTCCCACACTGGGCAATGAAGGGGACAGGAGCAGGCTTTGAGGGACAGTGGTTTGGTTGGAGCACAGGGCTGGAAGGAGACAAACAGGAAGGGAGTTGGGACTCGGCAAAAGACAGGCAAGAGAAGGACAGAGAGCAACAGCAACAGCAAGAAGGCAAGATGGTGGCAGAATCACAGGCAGCCAGGGGTAGTGACGTCTGCTGAGGGCAGATGCAAAAGCTGGGGGGAGCGGGAAGGCTGCTCTCCAAGCTACCCTGGCTGAGACAGGTGGCGGGTGGGTGGGGGTGGGCCAAGAAAGGGGTAAGAGAACAAACCAACCCCAGAGAGAAGACCAGCAGGGGGAATGGTCGTCCTCCCTCTCAGCTAGGGGGTCTGGTGCAGAGATCAAAGTTCTGAGGGTTCAGAGACAGGGCAAGAGAGGGGCGTGGGGCTGGAAGGAGGTCCAGCGGCCCAGAAGCAGCTCAGCTCTTTGGTATGACGAAGGTGGCATTGCCAGGCGTCCTTCTCACTCCTCTTCCACGCCCCGGGTCCCCTTGGCTGCTCGCCTCTGCCGCCAGCGCATCTCCTCCACCTGGCGCTCCAGCGCCCGAATCTTGGCCTCCAGCTGGGCCCCCGAGGCTCGGCTCCCAGTGAGCCGGCTCAGCAAAGCGTAAAGGGTCAGCAAGGCCAGGAGGAGCAAGGCCCTGGTGGAAGGGTCGGGCACCGACCTCACCAGGGCCACAAAGCCGACCAGGAAGAGGACAAGCTTCAGGCCCCACAGGATCCGCCCCAACAAGGCCAAGAGCAAGCCGAGGATGAGAGACAGAAGCCAATAGATGACCAGGGCCGCCCCTCCCCACAGCAGAAAGGTCTGGACCTGGCTGGGGCTGAGCTTCAGGCCCTGGGTGAGGTGATCTCCTGAAAGAAGAATCACAGAATTAGCCAACCTGGAGTGGTGAAGGGCCAGTGGGGGAGGGGAAAGTTAGAACCCAAAGAAAGGGAGGAGTTAAACCCCCCCACTGCCCTCAAAGGAAATAAAAATCTTTTCCCACAGGGTCACAGAGATGGGAGCCTGAATCTCTCGCTGTGGTTCCTGCCAGCCGTGGGTAGATTGCTTCCCTTGATTGAACCTGTTTGTCTACAACATGGAAGTCATTCTCTGGGCTGTGGGCAAGTTAAATGAGATACTATGGCTTAGCACGATGCATCTCCTGATGTGAAGCTACCACCCGGTAGGTGGTGGTAGTTTTGGGCCTACTCTTATGCTGGCCTCTGGGGAAACCTGGGAGGTACTGGGAGGCTGGGGACTAACTCAGAAAAGACAAACCCCACAAACGGGAAGTGATGCACTAAGCTCAGCTGACCTAGCCAGCTATCTGCCACTCACCGTCGAGTCCCAGGGCATTCAGCAGCTGTGCGGAGATCCCAGACAGAGCGAAGAAGCCCACAGAGATGGCTGAGGAGACGACGCCCATCACCTGGGACACGGTCTGGGGAAAGAGCAGTGCCGAGATGGACCGGTAACGAATGAGGCTCCTCCCCTGCAGGCCTCCCACCACTGCACAGGCGAGGCCCGGCAGGAGCGTCTCCCGCTGCTGCTCAGCCAGAGGCTGGCCTGCCCGGGCCTGGCTGAGGGGCCCCTTCCGCAGTGCACGGGGAGGGACAGCAGGCCACTTCTCCTTCCTGAACCAGGACCCAGGACATCTGGGGCCCTCAGTCAACTGACTTGCTTAAAAGCTTTGCTGGTGGCAGTAGGTGTAGGTGGGCGGAGGAATTGTCAAATCCCTGTTGTAGCCGCCCTGTGAAACTGGGGTCCTCCTAGCCTCCCAGGGAATCATGAGGGTGCGTGGAGTAACAGCGGTCGAGGGCTGGAATGTTCAGTGAAAAAGGAGTCAGTGAGCTCTCCCATATCATGGATGTCATCAACGATCCTCTGGGCCACGTGGTGCGATCTATCAGCTGCGTTTGGGGCGCCGCTGGGCAGCAGAGACAGCCCTGCCCCGGCCTCTACCGGTGAGGAAAGGATATTTTGCCAGTTTAACACTTTAGGTCAAATGTAGACTAAAGTCAGGCTCTACAGTCACCCATTGACATGGGTTTGTAAAAATGACTCATTTCTCAGCCTTTCTGGCAAGAAGGGACAGGAACAAGGGAGATGGGGTGGAACAGGGACAGGAGAGATGGGGTGGAGCCAAGGGCCTCAGGGTAGAATTTGAACAATGGGAGTGCAAACTGCTGTAGAATTTGGGGCCCTCTGCCCTGGGGATCATGACACACAGAAGATACAGAGCCAAGATGGGGTGGCCGCCAACAAGGTCTCCTCCTTCAGCTTTGTCGTGCACGTGGTCACAGCTGGGACCGCCTTCCTCACCTCAGAAACCAGGTGCATGGTCTCCGGCCCAACCCAGGCATCCAGGGTTCTCCGCACGGACCGTCCTGTCTGGCTCAAGAGATCGAGTGGGACCTCCCTCTTCTGTTGGCCGGGTAGCACAAAGTCCTGAGCGGACTCAGACAACGCTGAGTGGAGGAGGACAAGGGCCACTAGGACCATCAGGATGACTTTAAACAGATGCTTGCCGGATGACCAAGTGCTACTTGAGCCTGCCATGCTGGGTCTGTAGGGAGAGAAGCAGAGGGTGAGCAGAGAGCCAGAATGGCATAGAACCCCTCCGTCCCAGCCATGACCTGCCCGGCACCCCCTGCACCCCAGCCCTGTTAGTTGAGAAAGGCAGAACTGAAACTTCCCAACTTAAGCTGGGCACAACCACCTGATTCAAGGATTCCTCTTTTACATTCTTTACCACTTGCACACTAATTAACCAGTGAGGCTCACTCAGTGACCTGGGGTGGATGAGAAGATCTCTAACGTTTACTCCAGTTCTAAAAATCTGAAGGCCAGGTAGCTTAGTTAGAACGTCATCCTGGCATGCCAAGGTTGCCAGTTCAATCTCTAGTCAGGGCACATAAGCAATCAATGAATGCATAAATAAGTGGAACAAGAAATTGATGTTTTTCTCTCCCTCCCCCCCCGTCTCTCTCTCAAATCAATAAATTAAAAAGAATTTTTTTTTAAAGGCTGACAAAAGTCTGAAGGCCTGTCTCTGTGTCTTAGGTGCTTTGGGCATTTTTAAAAAAATGCCCTGGCTGGTGTGGCTCAGTGGATTGAGCGTGGGCTGTGAACCAAAGGGTCACCGGTTCAAGTCCCAGTCAGGGCACATGCCTGGGTTGTGGGCCAGGTCCCCAGTGGGAGCCACGTGAGAGGCAACCACACACTGATGTTTCTCTCCCTCTCTTTCCCCCTCCCTTCCCCTCTCTCTAAAAATAAAAAATATATATACACAAGGCTTTGTCCCCAATAAGTGTATAATCTACTTTCAATAAAGCTAATACAAAAAAAATTTTAAAAATAGCACACAAATAGGATTACCACTGTACAACGATACAAAGAAAAGTGCTCAGCTCTGTGCTCAACAAGAAGAAGGTAAGTGCACGTGTGCCACCTGCTCGGCAGGACCAAGTCTGCGAGATGGGTGTCATCCTCCTCACCCTTTACTGGGACAGATGGGCAGAAACTGAGACAGGATTTAGGTCACTGGGCGAAGGAGAAAGGCCAGGATGTGAACCCAAGCTCCTGCTCCCAAACTGCACACTCGCTGGAGTGAAGGTAAGGGAGCAGGTCTGCACGGTGGCCGCTCACTGGAATCATGTGGGAGCTTCACACAGGACCCTTTCCGCTGCCCCTCGCCCAGAAGTTCCGAGGTCACTGTCTGTAGGCAGCCGAGGCTCAGGCCTGCAGAAGCCCCGCAGGTGATTCCACTGTGCAAGCCGAGACCTGCAGACTCAGCAGGGACTCAGCTCTCCGGCCCACAATGTAGGCAAAGGGTTGCAAAGCACAACCTTTACAGAAGGACATTATTATTCATAAAAAGCTAACCGTGCACCACTTATCTCATTTAATCCTCATAACAACCCGTCAGGTAGGTATTGTTATTACCCCCTATTTGACTGATGAAGAAACCGAGGCAGGATAAGACACAAGTGGAAAGGCTAGGATTTGAACCCAGGTGTGCCTCAAATCAGACCCCTTGCGTACACTACCCTGCCGGACAGTCTCCAATGTCAGTCTCAGAAGTGATTTAGAAAGTCACACCACAGATTCTCTTTGAGTAAAAGGAATTTGGCATCTCCCAATCATCTCTGTGAGTTACTGGCGACAATTCAGTCAGCCACTCTGTGCCTTGTGCTCTGGTGTCGTCTACTGCATGATGCTTTGCCACGGACGAGCTAAGGCCTAGCACGTTCCAACTTGAAGCAGCTGAGGATGAGCAGAGAAGGGTTTTCAATCCCAAATTCTCTCTGTGACCATGCCTGAAAAATGTCAACTGGCCCCAGCAAATACCCTCTTCTCTTCCGGGCTCAGACATGAACCTGTAGCTCCAGGGAGCTTCCATGATTCAGACCTGGTGATCGGAGGGTAAGTCCTACCTCTGAGGTGGGAGCAGCCAGTGCTTGAAGTTTCTGCAGCTACCAGGGCACTCAGAGAGCTGGCCAGAAATCAGAGCCAGCAGAATGGAGGAGAGGGAAGGGGGGGGGTGTTTGAGAAAGGGTTATTTATAAAAATATTGCATTGGGCACTTTCTGGCCCTGAAACAGCTGCTCTAAGTCTCCCCCGAGACCTGGAAGACCAAGCAGGGCTAGAAAACATGCAATTCATGTGGAACGACCCCAGGCTGGGAAGCCGCCTACTCTTTTGGCACAAATGAAGAACCAGATGGCTCCTGCCTACCCGTGGTTGGAGATGAAGAAAGCACAGGTCAGGTTCTGGGCTATCTGGGTCATAACCACACCGGAGACTTAAAGAGCAGTGTTGCTATATTGGGTTGGATTCTAGATCCAAGGACCTCCACCAGCAGGAATCGGATGCCACCTCCTCCATTCTAGAAGGTCAGGGTGACATGAGCTCCCCCCAGCACCCCCAGCCAGGGCAGCCTGCTGAGTTCTGCTCTAGCCTGCACTGTCAAGCAGCCACTAGACCCAGTTGAGGAGAGCTGGGGGACCTTGAAATAAGCCCTCCCCAGTGAGGCCGGTATTGCCCTGCCAGCTGACCTTCTGAAGTGCACTGGAAACCTAATCTAACAGAATTGTGGCGTGTGCCCTTTGCAGAAAAGAGTGTAGCTTACTGGCTGGTCTGTTTCTTCGAATTGTTTTCTTTAACAGGAGCCTTTCTCTCTTCTTCCACATTAATCCTAGACAGCAAGAATCTGACCCATCACCATTACGCCTCCTCACTTCAGCCCAATCAAAGGCTTTTACTAAAAAGAAGCCATGGTCAAGAGCAGAAGCAGTCTCAAGCTGTGAGAGAAAGTATGTCTTAAGTGTCTTCACCTCCTGCAATGCCTAACCTCAAATAGCACACACTCAATGATAACAAACTGTGTGTATATACAAATAAACATTGTGTATACCGCTTTGTAATTTGCAAAGTGCTTGTTATTTCACCACTTCATTTAACACTTAGAACAATCTTATAAGGCATTGCTACTCTCCATATTTTACTCAGAAAACTATGGCTTAAAGAGGTCAAGTGACTTGTTCCAGTTCACACAGAACTGGGACTTGACTGCAGAACCCAAGATCTAAATCTTGCCCTTTTGTTCATTTCACACCCCTACACTGGCTCCATAAGACCTAGTCCCTGCTCTCAAGGCAATTATAGTCCTCCCCAATATCAACAAATCCAAAGTGAGAGGACATCCAGACTCTCAGCATGAGACTATGCACCAGGAGATGACCCACCTGCTGGGTTTACAGGTCATGGTTTTGTATCAAGAGGTATGAGGACAGCAAAAAACTGGGACTAGACCTTCCACCTGTGGCTCAGGCAGCTGCAATATGGCTCAGGCAGGGCCAGGAAAACCCGGCTGAGTGTGGAAAACTGCTTCCTTTAACTGTGGCAGTGAGAAGGCACTATATGTTTAGGTGTGGTTTGCTAAGAGGGCAGGGTGGGGCGGTCCACACACCCCATGCCAAAGCTCCTTCCTCTGCTTAGTTTCCTTTCACTACATGAATCACGACGCGGCAGGAGGGGCAGCTGACTTAGTGCCCTCTGCTGGCCCCGATTTCCCCCATCATTGTTCAGAGCCGCCCCTACGGAGCAGCAATTCTCAACTCTGCTCCACCACCAGGATGTCTGCCCCACCAGGGCCAGTTATGTCAGATTCTCCCAGAGAAGGGTTAGACTTTCGTTTTCAGAACTTTCAGGGATTTCTGAGGCATATAACCATAATCAGTAGTACAGGGAGAAGTATACTCTAGGTAAAGCCCTGGAAGTGTAGCAGTGTACAAAGGACCCTTAATTTTGGTCCCGGGCTCGACCTACCACAAATTAGAAGCCACGACCTTACACCCATTACTTTATCTGAGTTTCAGTCTCCTCCAGTGTGAAATGGGGTTAAGCAGGGTTAAGAGTTATTGCGAGTTAACATGTTTCTGCAAGAACTTTGTACGCTGTGAACATCTATAGAAATGTTGCAGTAAACAAATTGCCAATACACCACTGATTACATTGTAGCAGAATTTAGCAGTTTATATGCCTGCCTCCCACTTTAGACTCTGAGCACCTCCGGATCAAACTTGACAGCTAACTTTTTTTGGAATCCCCAGCGCCTAGCATACAATGATGATGAATTCATGCTTGTTAAATGAATATTAGAAGCCCCCCCAAGAAGCCAAGAGGGTAGCAACGGAGAGCTCTGGAGAGGAGGGGAGATGGTCTCATGTTAAAGTTGACCCAAATTTGCAGCGGCCACCCAAGAAGGGCAGCTGTGTTGTAAGGAAGCTCTTAGACTGGGCGAAGTTGCTACTGCAGGGAATGAAGTCAGCGTCCTGGCAGGTGGGGGCAGCCCCCGCTAACCCTCTAACAGCTGCTTCCCAGCCAACTGTTTGGGGGCAGGGCGACAGGCAAAGGGGCAGCTTCCCAGACGTATGAACCCTCCCTAAGACCCGGCCTCTCGGAGACAGGGTGTCAGTGGCATGCGCTATTTCGAACAGCGTGTCCCCTGCCAAGCCCTCGCTGGGTGGCGACTCTGGCAAGGGACCCGGTGCGGCCCATAGGTTCGGGGCACCCTAAAGGGCTCGGAGCGAGGTCGCAGGAGGCTGGGCCATGGACTGGGGGTCGGGGGCGAGATGCCAGCGCTGGCCTCTTTCCCCACCCTGACCGCCGCTGCACCGCCGCGCCGCAGCACCTCCTCAAGACTTCTAAGCATAGCTACGAACCCTTTGCTCCAGGGAAAAAAGTGCCTCCTGTTACCTAGTAACGACGCCCCCTGTTGCATAGCAACGAGGATCCGGGTACCCCAGCTGCCTTTCCCGCCGCGCAAAGTCCGACCCCTCCCCAGTTGTGCTCTTCTTGCCTCGCGGCTCCACCCCGGCCCCGCCTGCAGTGGCTGACGCCTCCTTCACCCGCCTGCCCCGGAGCTCCGGTTTCGGCTCGCACTCACCAGTCTTCGGCCACTGCTACTCTTCACGTGCGACTTCGCTAAAACGCGCCACCAAACCCGCGCCTCAGTCCCCGGGCGGTGTTTTAGCCTCTGCGCACGCGCAAGGGGATGTGCTGTAGGGCAGGCCGCTGCCCTCCCTCCCAAACTGGGTTTGCTATTGCGCATGCGCCCTACTTCCGATTACCCCCGCACGCTTTCCCACCGAGAGAATAGTGGGATTGAAAGCTCAAGCTGGGAACGGAAGTCTGTGGCGGGAAGAGAGAAAGATGTGACCATATCTGGCCTGTAGAGTTGGAATTCGGGGTCCAAGCCTATCCGCCTCTCCAGCCCCTAGGCATTTCGGGCGATGTAGTCTTAAGACCACCTCCGTAGTGCCTCCTGGGCATTGTTCTAACGGAGGGGCGCTCAAGAGCCCTTGGTATTTTGAGAAACTTTTCGCGCTAAAAAAGTCACAAAGGGAAGAGGTGTTGAAGCAGTTAGAGCCACACAACGCTGGGGAAGGGCATCCGCTTTCTCTGAGAGCAGTTCCACATCTGAACTCTGCAGTTGGCTCCCAAATGTTCATTGGATTGTGGAGAAGGAAAAAAACCCTCCCATACCCAACTTCTACAAAAATCGGGCGGCTTTGGTGGGGCGTGGGGCGTGGGGCGTGGCAGGAATGTGGAATGAGGTGATTCCTTCACTGCTTTGCAATTCTAGGCACGTTGGCTCATCTCTCTGAGTCTCAGTTGTTTCTACTATAAAAATTCTTGATAGTAGCTCTGGCTGGTGTGGCTCAGTGGGTTGAGTGCCAGACTGTGATCTGGAAGATCACTGGTTCAATTCCCAGTCGGGGCACAGGCCTGGGTTGTGGGCCGGATACTCAGTGCGGGGGCAGGGGTGGAGGAGTGCATGAGAGGCAACCACACACTGATGTTTCTCTCCCTCTTTCTCCTTCCTTTCCCTTTCTCTCTAAACATAAATAAAGAAAATCTTTAAAAAAATTTAATAGGTGTGGGGATTCAATGAAGTAACTGTACTTTTTTTTTTTGATCCAAGTTGCTACCTTAATCACATTGGCTGCTCCCCTTTGATATTAAAGCAGTTCCTGAAACTCAACCTCTAAACCCTTTTCCACCCCCACCCTCCCACCCGAATCAGCCTTCTAATTCTGTGTACTTCCCAGATTCTATTCACAGGAGTAACAATTAGTCTGTCACCTCTTGCAGTTGTTTTTTTCCTTCAGATATTTGTCAGCACTTCTATCTTGCTCTGGACCCTCATCACTTCCTGCCTCAGCTAACAGTTCTTCCCGAACAGGCTCTGGTAGCATCCCGGATCCCACCTTCCAGCCTAACATTTGCAACTTTGCCCTTGCTTGTGAGATTGTTTCT